AGAGTTAGGAGTTACACTTTCAACAATATAAGTCTCGAGTCAAGAGTTCAAGGAGAGTTGTCCGCTGTCATTGTAGAAAGCGATCAACAAGATTGGAAATGTGTTCACGGCCCACTCTAGCGGGCGCAGAGATATTGAGTCAGCAGACGGGTACTTGGAGACTGTTGGCTCATGGGCAGCATCCACGGTGCTCACCGGTGCCTTGATTTCATTACAGATCCCAAGAAAACAGCCAGTCGTCCCACGAGCCGCGCTGGAAGCCGGACAGGCAGCCGGGCTAGCAGTCGGCGGGGAAGCGATGCCTCCGACTTTGACCTGCTGGAAACTCAGTCAGCCTGCTCGGACACTTCAGAAAGCAGCGCGGCGGGGGGCCAAGGCAGCTCCCGACGAGGGCTGGCGAAACCTTCCAAAATCCCAACCATGTCCAAGAAAACTACCACTGCCACCCCCAAAACTCCAGGCCCCAAGAGATAATACTGTACCGACACCCCCTGCGAAAGAAATACAACCTGTGTCCAGTTTTTAACCCTGCTGCGTACAGTGGATGTATATTTATTCTAAACGGGAGAAATTATATTGTTAAAAGTGTAAAAGAATAATTGTGTTATGAAGCTGCCTTATTTGGGGGGTTTTTTGGTTTTTTTTTTTTGTAAGTTACTATTTTCATGTGAATATTTATGTAGATAAAATTTGCTGCCTGGTTCCTCCTGTTCACAGAGGGTCCAGACAACTGAAATTTGGGGGGGGGGAAGCAAGCAAAAAAAAACAAGAAAGAAAAGAAAAGGTCAAGATGTGAAAGTGTAGAAAAAAGAAGAAAAAAAGAAAAAAAATTATAAATAGGATTTCTGCGTGGTGCAGGGCCTGACCCTGCTGTATCTTTTAGGATTCTTTCCTAAAGGCGTCTTTGTAAACTTGACTTGCTGTCTCAGCAAGATAAATTATATTTAAGAAAAAACAAAAAAGACCTGAATCGTACAGTGTTCAAGGAACTCTTTTTTTTTGTTGTTGTAAATCATGGATACCTCAAATTGAGAAACATGAGGTTGAAGGGGGTGGGGATGGAGCTTCTGTTTCCATTATTTTTTAAAAGTTCTGTGATTTTACCTGAAGAAAGTGGAGTTTGAATGAATAACGTTTGCACACACCACAGCAAAAAAAAAGAAAAAAAAAAAAGAGTTGGTTACAAATACTGTCCCAGCAACTAGGCTTTTAAAGAACAAACGGCGCTGGGGGCGGGTGGGGGGTTTCGGGGGGTACTTCAAAGCTGTCCAGAAGAGAACACTCTTGTGTAACGCT